GTGTAGATCGTTGGTGTCATGATGCCTCATTTCGCTTTATTTAGAAGTCTAGACGAACTTTGATATTCCAGTTTCCAACTTTTGCGCTTGTGGTAGTTTGTAATATTTTTCTCTGAAATGTTCTTTTAAAAAGATGTTGCTGTCATCGTCATTTAAATGCAGACCTTGAGCAGCCACGACTGGTGATATCTGGCCGTTACAGATGATATCACATATTAACGCTAGACTATTATTAATATCCATGATCATTTCTATATCGTTATCAACCATTTTGAACTACTTGGCAATATTTTTTCATCCTAAGATGTTGAACAGAATAGCTATGCCGTATTTCGCTCTAATGGGTTCCTAATTCTGATTATTGTTCTCTCTTCTTCAAATTAAGGCATTGCTGGAGTTTTGAATATTGATAAATTGATTCCTTAATATGAATATGCAAGGAAGTCATCTGCTGAAACGTTGGAGAAATTATGAAGGTATTTGTTAATGATCAGCTTATCAACTAACTCAATAGTGAATTAATTATAGTTTATTTGATGGTATAATGAAGATCTTCGAAGGATTTTGTTTTCAATTCGAATCTTGCCCGAAATTTTCAGCACATTTAAATCCTTTCGTAATGTGATAAAGTCTGCTGCTTTTATAGCAGCGTTTAATGCGATGTGCTGGCTTCAACAACAGCACGTACTTGCGCCAGTTTCCAAGCGCAGCTGTTTTCTAAGTTGCGAATCACGAGCGTTTTCCACTTGCAAACAAGTTTTTCACTGTGACGATTGATTGTGCACTTGTTTACGGTTAGTCACCCGCTGTACGCCTTAAAGCTGAGTTCGACAGACAGTCAGACGGACAAGTTCTATTTTGTGTAAGTTATAAATGAAACCTCAACATCTTCGGGTCCTGAAACTGACAGTGTCTGGCAGTAATAACATGCAAAACAAGTTCAGATACTATGTCTAACTCTTTAGCAGACTTCCGAGCCTGTCACCAGTTTTCTGCTTGACCTGTCACGATTAGTATTTCCTTATTCACAGAGGCATAATGTTTGACCAGCGTGTGGAGAATTTCAACTGTAGCAGTTTGTTTGGCCGATGATATTCATCAGCTTCATGGTCAGATCCTATCTTTTACCACTGACAGCAGTGATTTTAACGTTTCCTTGGATTTAAATACTTTTTTAATGAAGCAAATTATCTGATGAAGCCTTGGATTTAAATGCTTTTATATAAAACAAATCCCTCGATGGAAAATTAAAGTCACTGTTGATAAAGCAGGAGGATACGATTCAACCAGTGAAGGTGACTGGCGCCCTCTACCAGTTTCAACTTTCTTTCCTACCTTACGTTAGCCATAAACCTGTTGATCCCTTTCTATGCACGTTGGTGTACGTCGCGCTTAAATTTCTTGTATTCTTCTATCATCATCAGCAGTAGTATTTGTTGATCCACTGCTGGATGAAGGCTCTCCAAACTTTTGGTTTAAAATTCTATTTTCATAAATTCTTATTTCTCATGATCAATCGATTTTGATCCATTCTTATCCAGCTTCTTCGGTTCATCCTGCCGTCCATTTTAGGTCTTCCTATGGGCCGTAAGCTCTCTTGCAAATCAGCCTAATATCTGTCTGATTCAACAATTGTCAGATCTTGCAACGTGTCCTGTCCAGTACCATTTCAGCTTCTTCACTCGTATAGTGACGTCGTGGACTTATGTTCCTGCTTTTGCCCCTCCTATTTGCCACTCAATTTCTTCTTGTTATTCCAAACATCAACGTTATCGTGCTGATAAGCATTGTCTAAGTTTGTGAATTGGTTTCAGGCTTACGATTCACGTTTCATGTCTATGAGTTATCACTCGAAGTACACCCATCTGTTTCGGAAAATCTTCCACCATTTGTTGATATAATGCCCTAACATAATGGCCCTTAAAATACATCGGTAGGCATATTACTAAATGCAGAAGACAAAAAAGTCAGAATAATCTGCTAAGGTTTGAATGTACCATCTGAACCTGCCTGCCGATAGCCATTACTGGTTAGAAATTTGAATTCGCTACATTGAAACGCATTACAGTTGCGACGGATCGTTCTGGAGGAGTTCTGTTTAAAGTATTGTTGTTCCTAAAGACAGAAGCCGCCATAAATGAAGATTGGATATTTTAAATATGGAAAACGTTAACAACCCTTTCTAAATGCTTAGAGAGCTCAATATCAGAAGAATGTTCAGTCAGTGAAAGTTTACATCCGCCGTGAACTCACAACTGTGATAAGCAACTTTGTTCCAAAAGATATAGAGATGGTCTCTCTGACTCTGATTGACCACATTCCATTAAACATCAACATGAAGTCAAAAATTTTGCTTATTTTTGCATTGCATTTGTTTAAAGCAAATTATTATATGCATATTTTCTATATAACTTCGTAACTGTCCTTTATATGCTTCGTCAAAGATCATTGTTTGTTTCAGTATGCTGGCCATCAACAACCCAACTATCACGACCTTGTGCCTAAAAGACGTGGCCTTGGACATTGATGACTGCTACTCGCTCTTCGTAGCACTACGGAAGACCCTGCGACACCTGGAAGTGGACGTCATCCGTTATTACGCGTTCTGCGAAAGGACACATTGTTACTCTGGCAGGGACTTCGTTACGTTTTTGGAAATGGCCAATCGACTGTGCAGTTTGTCTTTCTTGCAATGTCGCTGTATATATGATGATTTTCAGGAGGCACATGTATGCCTTACCTCAAGTTCCCTCGTAAAGCTGAATCTTCAAGGACATCTCTTCAAGCAGAGTCTTCTGTTGCCATGCAACTTGGAGGTGCTGAAGATAAGCCTTGATGGTCATGAAAATGAAAACTATTTCGGTGTGCTGCAGTCGCTGCCGTATTTACGGAAACTGTACATTAGACTGTCTGATAATTTTGTAATGTCGAGCCCTAATTTTCAAAGCTTGTTCACGAAGCTGGGGGAACGGATCGTTTCGATAACGAACGTAGGTGCTGCCTCTTTTCAGAGCATTACTTCTCTGGTTACTAGCTACTGTCTGAACTTAAAGACTTATTCTCTCAGCAACAATCAGACGTCCATGTCGACTCCCTCTGGCTGTGAACTATTTGCTTTATTTGCCGATTGCCATCGTTCAGCCAAGTTTCATCATTTGCAGTTGAATCTCGAAAGACTTCCTGCCGAAGAGCTCCGTCTCTTGTGTAACAACTGTCATAATTTAAAATCGCTTTGTATTCGTGGATGTCAGACCATGGACGATCTTTCCATTAAGCTTCTAGCCGAATGCGCGAGAAATGTGACATTTCTGGACGTTTCTCGTTGCAGCAATGTGAGCGACGTTGGAATCGTTGCTATTGCTGCTCACTGCCAATATTTAGAAGCTGTATATCTACTTGGAACGTCTGCTGGCGACCCCGGGGTTGTTGCATTAGCTCGTCAGTGTGGTCGCCTAAAAATTTGCGGAGTCGAGGATTCTCAAATCAGCCCAGTCACTAGCGATCTCTTGAGGCACTTTGGCATTAAGCAGCTGTCATCGTCGACTTCACTGTAGTCACTGATTTACGAATCGCTCCACCTCTGTATGATTGCATCAGCGTCGTTCTCGTGGCTTTGGAAGTTGCATCAATGTCTCCTGTAGAGTTGCGCAAAATGGCTGCGATTAAATCCGCATTCGTCATAAAGTAGACTTTACGAGTGGAGCGCTGCAACGGCGGATCCGTGCTGTCAGTCCACAACTGAAAAGATTGTACTGTTCTGCGAGTTACGGACTTTGGGAACACGCTACCGAGGTGATTTTCGATGAAAAGTAATGACACTAAAAAGCAATAGAAAAATATTGTCTCTGAAAAAGGTGGACTGCATTGCTCTATACAGGCTGTTATGATATTATACTTATGGTCATTCGTTTAATTATGATAGGGGATTCGTTTAATTATGAATATCAAAAGGGCGATGGTTGCTTCATAACTTTCGTATTTTTCTGATGGCAAAAGCAAAATATGATGACGGTTAACTTTGAAGGTGCAAGCATACCTTATTCAACTTTGCAGCGTAATTACGATACGCCTCCATATTTTGGGATGAAACACTCTGGCTAAAAGTTTGTATTAGTCGTTGAAATTTTTTATTTTATGCTCTCTACTGTCTGAAATAAGTGTGACGATTCATAGACTGAATGGAAGGAAGATCCCGATAGTTGATTATATTCGAAAATGGAAATAACAGTATCGTCGTATGATTCGGATAGGCAAGTGCTGCAAACTTCAGCCTAACCACAGCGTTAAAACTTTCACAGATCTGTTGTGATCCTTAAGAATGAAGTAAGACATTCATCATTCATATTTCAGACCTTTAAAAGTTACCAATGCTTATTTATTACGTGAATTTGTCCAGTATTTCTGTAATGACTGTTAGCTTTTACTGATTGGCAGTGAAATCTTTCGTTAAGTTTTTTCGCTACTGCAGGAACACTTTTGTTTCAAATTCCGCTTTGGCACGGAAGTTCTTACCTTTACTTCTACATTTACTTTTACATTTTGTTGGGTAGTAATAAAAGTGCTTGAAACCATAAGAATCGTCTTAAATGCATACGAAATATATAGCACGATCAATTTTTATTAACAACCATGGCAATGAAGCAATGATAGTTCAACAGCATACAAGTTATTTGCATCGAAATAGCAAATCTGGCAGATATGCTGGGAATTTGATCAACTACTTACATTGACACTAATACTTCTGCCACTATTTTATAAACATTTTTTTCCATTTTATCAATTTCCTGTCAATTCTTCATTCAAACCTGATTAAATTCTTCCACCGTTTTTTTGTTTCTAGAGTCATGGTCTTAGTCTGCCAATTTTCTCGTCTTTAAGTCTACATTTGATTCAATACATCGTGCTATGACACAGAAAATTTGAAATGCAATCGATATGGGTTAACTGAAGACATTTTCCAGTTTTGAAACAGACGTATGCAAGGGCGACTCTGCTGCCAAAGTTGACGGAGAATAATTAGAGTGGTTCCCAATTAACTATGGAGTTCGCGACGGAAATTCCTTTCGCATTTCCTATTCAATACTTCTCCCGAATATCATTTTTGTAACATTGCTGACCGCGCAAAACGAAGGTCTTAGTTTAAAGACATGGCGCGATTCGGAATATCCAGGTTGATACTTTGTTGACCTGGGGTAGGCAGATGATATTTTCGGGGTGTGGGCTCTGTAATCTAGCGATTTGCTCATGCAGTAGCAGCTGCGAAAACTTGCATGTTCCGTATTGCCCGGATTTAAAAAGTTATGAGGAATCAATAAGCCACCGCTGATCAACAAGCGGAAAAATGAAATGATGAGTCCAATTTAAGTATCGACGCTCCATCGTTTCCAGCGATGGCAGTATCTCACGAGAGTTAAATAGAAGAATCGCCTTACCCTTAGGTGTTTTTCGAAATGCGTCTGATATTTGGAGCGAGAAAAGAATCACTATCCGCATGAACAGTTTATTCTACAATGCCTTGGTTAGGTTCATGTTGTTGTGCGACATGGAAACAATTGCTTTAAGGAAGTAGCAAGAACGGCGGTTGAACTGCCTTAAGCGGCGCTGGTTTAGAAGCATAACCAGAATCGAGGGACATGTCCATTGATTAGAATGGCGCCATTCTCTTCCAGACATACGCGACTTCGAAAGATGTGCAGATTAAGAAAAGTAAGATGGCTCTGTTAGACAGAGTGTTAGAGCATACAACATTTGCTCATGCTCATGAAGGTCTTGAATTAGAGCGTAGCACGGAAGACGTTGGCTTCTGGGCCAGTATGCAGCATGGAGGAACAAGACAGAAGTAGACTTGTTTCTGGAGATGAACATTTTTTCGCAATACTTCAATGTGCCTTATAATAAAAGTGCTGAAAAGCTGTTGATACTGCGGATATCATAATTGAGAGTGGTTCTGTTTATGTAAACTGCTCATTGCAACGATCTCAACAGATAAACGCACAAGTAAAAACTACTTAAAATAATAATAAAAAAATTAAATGCAAAAACGCATAAATCGACTGATTTAATTTAGCGTCGACGCCATAATTGTGTGATTTTCA